TTGTGGACCTTTTCAGCACCAGGTTGGGAAAAGATTTTCAGCATTATGAAAACAAACACAAAAAGTTCTGGGTGGTATAATACAGGCTGTGAAATTGTTAATAGACTACAATGGGAGCTTAAAAAAAGAATGTGGGGGTAGTCAGGCATGGGAGCAACAGCATCCTTTGGGTAATCTGTTTACTTGTGGTATGTTTGTGTAGACACACGCACACACATGTATAGCATGGGGCTGCACAGCTGTCCCCCTGGGTAGCACATGATGACTGCAGTTCTGTAGTTTTGAACATTATCTGCTCACTCTCTTGGCTGCACAGATAATATTCAACCATAGTTGTGTGATTTTACAGCATCGGGACTAGCAGCGGGGCTGACAGAGCTTGCTGAGGGCAGAAGGCACCAGTGCAGGTTGCATTCCCCTGCTGCAGCTGCTGGGCTGGCCCTGCTGGGCACTGAAGGGTGCTCCTTCCCTTCTCCACTGAGGACAGAAGTCCCTGGCCCCACAGTTAAGGATGGCCATTTCTTTGCCTGACGCCCCCCCTTTGCATCTCTCCCCACCTCCTTTTTGATTCAGAGAAGTCACAGCATTGTGTGGCAGCACAGGATGATACGCGTATCCTCCTCTGCCACCAGAACCAAATAAATTCTTTAGAGAAATTATTTCGAAAACATTGCTGAGGTATAAAGACCTTGGGAAGGGCTCAGGAAAAGCTGCAATAAATGTGCAAAGGCAACGAATTTTTTCTTCTAATGAGTAATGATCTAAAGCCATCATTACAATTAGTTTATAGAAAGGAATGATTGGATAACTATTGGAAACAATAAACCTAAGATTATGGAGGATGCTTCAATGCTTTGACCCTTTAATTCATAGACAGGTATTTCCCTAAAGAAATTTGTGTGATTAAAATACTTCTTCCTGGTTATATCCTTTCAGAAGGCATTGGCAGTGACAGGGCTAAATGCACAGGGCCTTTTAGCTTAGTGCACTGATTTTTTTTTTTTGCAAGAGCGAAATACTCAGAAAAAGTAAACACTGAAATATGGCAAGGACCAAGAAAAAAAAAAAAGGGAAAGCTGTCTTGTTTGAGGTGTTGGTAGTTAAAACTGTTCTTTGTAATGAGGCACAGGAAATGAGAAATGGAGCTTTGGAAAGAGCTAAATTCATGCTGTGTCAAGGCAGAGAGAATGACAAAGACTGATGATAATGAGAAATTACTTTATTATTTCCTTGTGGAATACTGGTATGTACCATACTGTACTGTTATTAGACTGTCAATGTATTTGGAAAGAAATAGGTGTTAGAGTCTACCAAATAGTCCTGATATCAACACTGTATCAGAGCTTCTGGTAGTTCATCTGTCTGGGGAGGATATGAAGTGAAACAGTTTCCAACACTTACGTAAACATCATGAAATTACACAAGAAAAGATCAATAACAAATTGTATCTCTATCACTGCGTTTATCTTCCAAACCTTTTTCAGTTCAACACACAGAATCCCTCAAGTAAATTGTTGTTACTGGCAAGTCTCGCCGATATAAGTGAAGTTGAAAACATTTTGTTTCAATGTGCTGTGTTGGCAACAAGAAAAAGGAACATTGCAGCAAGATGACATGGTGCAATACCTGAGTGCCGATATAAAAGATATTTCACATGTAAATTATGAACAATAATTCTACTGTGCTGCAGAGCACATGTACCTGAGCATTTAGTCCTGGATGTATAACAGAATCTGTTGAATTTTGGTGGGGTTACACCATTACAAAGGTCACCTAAAACTAAGCAAAACTTCCTGGGCTCTCAGTACAGTCAAGGAAGAGAAACAGATTTGCAAGAGGATGATTTGTTTCAGTGGGTAATGTGCCTGGTATACATTATCCCTGGGAGACACCTTCTCTTCTCCACTGACTATAAAGGGAGACTGACGTGACCAGATTAGACTCAGAAAACTAACTTTGTCTCGAAGTTAAACAAGACATATCCCCTGCTGCCATGATATGAAATATCATGCTCTAAAATTACTGCTTCTTTGACTCCTAAGACACCTATGGAACATCTACCTGTAAACAGCTGAAGTACGGGGATATCCTCCCCATCTGCTGCATTATTAGTTAGATGCCCCTGTGTTGATTCACGCACAGCACAGAGAGAAACGCAGTCCCTGCTGCAGGAGGGTTGGTCCAAGAGTCTGTTCTTCCAAGCACATGGAAGCTACAGATGGACAACAGCTTAAAGCTGAGTTAGATCCTGAAGGTCTGTTTCTAGCACGGAATCCATTCCGAAAATTTTGGGTTTGCAGCTCAGAGATGTTTGCTAAAAAGGACTCAGAGCACTTTTCTAGCCATGATACTAGCCTTGAAATAGAGTACAAGAATGCTAAGCAATAATGAAAGCAGTATGTTTTGTTTATATGAAATATAACCTTTCCGTCAGGATGAATGCTTCTGAGATTACATCAAACAACAGCAAACTAGGAATTAACTCCTTGAAGTAAAAAGAGTGTGCTAGTTATTTTGTAAGAGACCTTTTCAGTTGCCTCAGATCAACACCTTCAACAGGCAGGTGTGAGAACTTCTCACATTTAAGGTCCGGTAAACAGAAGATGGAGTCATGATGATTTGCTCATGCTGGAATAGGTACCTCAGAATGCATTAGTGAGGCAGAGGCTCTAGGGAAGTCAGGCAAATAAACAAAAATAGTAGCAAAGGTGTCACTGAAGGCAGAGCTGAAGTCTGGCTCAACAGACTGGTAAATGGACTTGAAAATGGAAGCAACATCGTACAAAGAGAATGGTAGGAACG